CTTTGCAGGTAGAGCATGACAGTATTTGAGAAGAAATAAGGTCCTTTTCTACCTTGGGTACAGTTTTCTTCCCCTCCAATGTTACAAAGGATGGGAAAAAAAGCTCTTTGTATGTCAGAGCATTCCCAGCGCTCCAACAGCAGGGGGAGAGTTCTGTAAAGCAATGGCTGGTGATGATGCATAAAATAAGCATATCAAAGCTGCTAGGTTTTTTTATGATTTCCACCACTGGGACTACTTCAACAAGACATTTTAGCAGTTTTCTGCAATGGGTCTGACCCCATGCTGCAGGTAGCATGCAACACCCAGGTGCCATATTATGCCAGATCTCAAGTATCTAGACAAGACATGATGAATAAATATCTTTTCTTCCACCTCCCTCAGTTTACCTCCACCAGAGACAGAGGTCAGCCTGAAATCAAGAGAACTTGAAGAGAACTGCCCAAATAGGCTGGGTAGCTTTAGCGTTCTGATTTTATCTTGATGGCATGAAAGAAATAAAGTTCAGACGTAGTTGTCTGTTACTCTGTTAGCAAGTGCTACTGGCTATTCTGTCACACTGCTGCCAGGGTCTCAGGCTAGATCCAGAGGGCATAAGAAATTAAGAACTGCCCAGGTCCCTGCACATTTGCCAAATATCCATCATGCTCTGGCAGGAAGGGGTGATTGGTTTGGTCTTTTGGAGATGAGAAAGAATGAAAATGAAGTCGAAGGCATCTCACAAATATTAGTCTTGTAAATAATTGTTCAGCAATTAAGCACTGTCAGTCCTCGTCCCATTCCTCTCAGGCCCAAATCTTGCTACTAGAGGGTAAAATGAAACAAAGTGCACAAAGTTTCCTACAAGTCTGGAGGGAAAAAGTGGTCAAATCCAGAGGGGCAGAGTCAGCCCCTCAGGCAGGACACAGCCTGCACTGCCCTGAAAGCCACACAGCTCTTCAGCCAGGAAGATGCAAAAGAACAAGGTGCAGCCAAGTAGGGGAAGGTGGCCAGGGACCAACAAAAGCCTGTAGGCAGAGCAGAGATTGGCAGCCCCTGTGCTGGAGCCACGTGGCTTGTTCCCTAGGGAGTGAGAAGGGGGAGGGTGGAGGGGGCTTTACAATTTAGAAAGTCACTGAAGTTTGTTCTGACACAAAGTCAAAACTTGACCTGACAAGACACAAGGTGGGGAATTTGCTTGCAAACCTTTAAAACTTTCTCCCCACACAACTCAGGAGCTTTTTCCATTTTAAAATTATTCTAGCTCACAATTTCCTGAGGCCTGGGTTTTGCATTCAAAGCCCTCTTGGGACATTTAAGAGCATTTGTTTTGAAAAAAGTTCCTGGCAGATCTTCTTTTTAGCTGCCTTTGAATCTTGCCATGGCATGGCTTCAATCAAGAAAATCTCTCCATTTTGCCTTCCACAGGGAGGAAAGTTAGCAGTACAAGTGATTATTTTTATGAAACACTGTACACTCTTGCGATTTGATATGAGGCAGATGGGAAAAGCAAAAGTGTAGGGTATTGAGGCATCGATAATTAACAGCAGCTTAACAAGAGACTTCTCCCTCCTCTGGGACTGAGATTTCTTTGGTTTGTAGTTTTTAGTTTTGACCATCTGTGCTGGATTTGGCTGGGATAGTGTTAATTTTCTTCCCAGTGGCTAGTATAGGACTGTGTTTTGGATTTGTGCTGAACACAGGGTTGAAAATACAGATATGTTTTTATTATTGCTGAGCAGGGCTTACACAGGGTCAAGGCCCTTTTCTTTCTGGTTTTCATACTGCCACGCCGGTGAGGAGACTGGAGGTGCATGGGAAACGGGGAGGAGACACAGCTGGGACAGCTGACCCCAGCTGACCAAATGGATCTTCCAGACCATATGACACCATGTTCAGTATATAAGTGAGGTTAAGAAGAAGGAAAGGGGGGGAAACATTTGAAATGATGGCATTTGTCTTTCCAAGTCACTGTTACATGTGATGAGACCCTGCTGTCCTGGAGATGACTGAACACCTGCCTGGCCATGGGAAACAGTGAATTAATTCCTTGTTTTGCTTTACTTGTGTGTGCAACTTTTGCTTTCCCTATTAAACTGCCTTCATCTGAACCCCTGAGTTTTCTGACTTTTACCCCTCTGATTCTCTCTCTGATCCCACTGGTGAAGGAGTGAACGAGTGGCTGAGAGGGGCTTGGTTGTTTGCTGGTGTTAAACTACGATACCATCACAGTCGTGTGGCCATTCAGCATTACAGAATGAGAGAAGTACTCCTGACATGCTGACTGCAGTATCTAGAGGGGCTGTACTGAGTGGCTGCTGTCCAGAACGAGACCTTTCGGGAAGGTTTTGAAGCAAGAAGACTAAAGCTTCTGCTTGACAAATCAGCGTGTCACAAAAGGCCACAGAGATGCTTTGAAATAAGATATGACAAGTTAAAACCTAAAGATGGATCAAACAAGTACAGAAATAAAGACCTCCTTTCGCTTTGCAAATATAAATCCCCAGTGAATAACATCTTTTTAAAAAGCAGATACAAATCCATCCTGTGCTCCTCCCTCCCCATCTTCAACTGCTTGTGATTCAAGTAGAAAAGCCCATACTTCTGTCAAATTCTGGGAGCTTTCTGGCATGACACTGCAGAGTAACCTTGTACGTTACAGGGACTAAAGGGATTGAAACATCTTTTCATGCTGTCTGTGACTTTCAGATATAAAGAACTTGCATTTTATTTGAATTTCCTTCCAGGTCAGAGAAGCACAAAGTGCATAATCTTGAAGCTGTCACTACTTACTTGCTCTTTTTTTTAAATTCCCTGTTTATTCAGTCTTTACATAATATTCGGGAAAAAACACTGAAAACCCCAACAAACCAAATGATTTATTCAAGACAGATGTACCTTTTAGTCTTCTTTTACCTCTCTCTACCAGGGAGTACTGTGAATGTTTAAGCAATACATTGATCTGGCGAAGAGAAGAACAGAAGACATTTGGACCCTTCCCAATCTGGTTTCAAGCTTGTCAGCAGCAGTCTAAAACAAGACAGCTAACCTAACACAAGTTGACCTTGCTTCAAGTTGGGCTTGGACAACACCATCTCCAGAGAAACCAGCCAGCCTAAATTTTTCTAGGATTTTAACATGCACTGGGATGGTCAGTCCTCACTCAGTGGTTTATGGGACATCTTTAGGGGGTTATTGGCAATTATAGGCATTATAGGCATTGGTGATGCTGTTCATGGCTGCTATTGGATTTTTAAGAACTATTATCAGCCTTGTTACCTACTGAAAACCTGACATGTGTTCAGCCATCAGCTTTCTGTTGACAGCCCTGGCCTCTGACCTTACACTGTCCTGCAGCTACAGTTGGTGCAGTGAACTGGACCTTTGGGACTCATTTCTACCTAAACTCAGCTATACTCTATTGATTACTTGTCTCAGAAGGAGTTGCCATCTGGATGATTAGCATGGACCATTTTCTAACCACTGTCTAGAGGCAAAACTAGCTGAAATCCCACTGTGCCAGAGTCACAACCAGTTTCGGGAGGTTTTTTTAATGCTTTCTGCATTACCTTTCCTCCACTGACTGGATGGATGGATAGATGGTTGGGGAAATGCGAACCAGGGCTCTCCGGGGTGTATTTCCTGCTGGCTAATAAAGTCATGTTTTGTGAGGCAGTTTTTCATTCCTTTCAGCATCATGCTTCACTACAACATTTGCATCCCAAACACCCTCTGTAAGAGCATCATAAGCACCCACCAATGTTCCCAGAACCTTCACTTCAGCCAAAGGAACTTGACCTGATAGGGCTGCAGAAACCTTGTCAAGTGAACACAGACTTGAATTTCAAAAAAAGAACTCTTCCATGTAGTTCCCACTCTGTTGGATTTTCGCCCTGCTGGATCCCCTTCTATGCTGCCCACACAACCTGTGTTTGGCATCCAGCAGATGCCTGAAGCATTGCTAGTGCCTGCCTTGCCTGGCAGAGTGGCCATTGAAATGTAGTTGAATTAAGTCATGTCCTAAACACTTCTTTTCTGTACTTGTCCTTTGTACTCCTCTCTCACTGCCTCCCCTTGGAGACAACACGAGTTTCTGTGGCTTACCACAGACTACTTCCCAGCCCTTACCTCCCTTCCTTTCCCAGGGTTTCCTCATGAGCAGGTCCTGCAGTACCACTGTGATGGCTCTGGCCCCTCCTGCTGGAAACGGGGAACACCTGGTCCTTTGGCCCTGAATCCAGGGCCATTAGCCCTGAGCAGTGAGGAGCAAGATGAGGCACACTGGCTGCCTTCTGCAGAGTATGTAAGTGCCAGCCTCACTTCCACACTGCAGGCATATATTAATTCCCTTTTCCTGAGAATATGGGCTAGGCTCTGGCACTAACTTAGCTATTGGAATCCCAAGGGTGAGTTAGGAATCTCCAGTAATAAAAATTACCACCATAAAGTCTTGGTGGCACTTGCATTTTTCTTTCCCTAATTTTAATTTTTTAAATTAAGCTCCCTTTCTACCTCGTTCGAGGTGCCTCTGCAAACAGCACCCACTTCCACTGCTCTTTACCAGCTTATGCTCCCAGATCAAAACCAGACCTGTTTCAAGGTCTTCTCCTCAAAATGGTTTAGTACTTCTGTACGTATTGCTCCAGGATGTCCATGCACCTGGCACTGACCAGACTCCCTCTGCAACTGCCTGATCAATCACAGAAGGAACTGATTTGACTACACAGAGGCAGATCAAGATCTTCCAAAGCTGTAACAGCAGTGGTCGCTGTCATCTGAATCTGTAAAAACCCAGATTCAGACAAGGAAGAGGTAAGAGGTAACACCAAAGTAAAATTCACTGGTTTTTAAGAACACTTGCTTATTTCCATTAGCATCCTGCACTTAGTAATCCAGCCCCTTCACCTGATCCCCTGCGTCAGTCACTCTGATCAATCCTCTGTTTACCAATAGGGAACCTTTCCCTTTCACTTGGCCATTCCCATTCCAGGGTTTATAGATCTATGAATCAACAACAAACATAATTAAAAGACTTTTTTATTAAAAATCAACATATATATACATTTATACATTTCACATACCGCTGTATATGTTCACCAAATAACCACTAAGTCCGAAAGCCTTAACAGTACAGATTTCCATCTGAACGAATTTACTGCAGGGGAACTTCAGTTTTGCAATCAATCAGATATTACAGAATGTCATTAACTTCTTTTCTTCTTTTCCCCTAAAAAGTAGCAGCACATTTAATTACCAGTGTTCACAAGGCATAAGCCCCAAAGTGTTGTACAGTAAGAGAAAAATTAATTAGCAAATGTAGGCAATAGGAAGAGAGCTCACAATGAAAATGTATTAGTTGCTGCCTATTATGAACAGCGGGATGTTAATAAAACACTTAGAGCCATGCTGAAGAGAGGGAAGAATTATAAAATAAAAAATTACTTCTTGATAGAACAGCATAAAACAAAATACTTTTCAATGTCATTCAGGACAGGAGTCCTGCAAAGAACAGATGTTGTTATAAAGACTCAGCATAGTCAGGATAATGCTTGTGTGTTTAAACATGTAATAAAGTTTTCAGAAAACATACACATACTGCATCCCTACCAGCACCTTTCCACAGCTCAGGTTAGTAGGGTTTCACGTGTTGATGTAAAAAAAAGACATTTTACTGAAGACAAATGTGATCAAGAGTTCCCCAGACCTCTCAAGATTTATACCTATGTCGATTAAGTGCTAGTAAAGATAATAAAGGCTGGAAAGTTTCTGGAGACTGGGAGCAAAGAGAGAAGTTATCTTTGTAACCTGGACTCCTGAGCACACTTGAGTCACCACAGCATGGGCTGTCTGAGGAAGGCAGTTCATAGGCACCCGTGGTGTGCTCTGTGTAACAAATCCCAAATGCTTATTTTCTCCAGACTTTGACAATATTACAAGAATACTGATCTCCATGTGACAACTTAACCATGTAAATAGAAGAAATGAAGATGTAATTGAATTCTTTCTCATGAATGTAGAGCATGACTCTTGTTTTGAGCAGAGTGCCAGATTCTGAGCAATTTTTTCTCCTTAGGATTTTTCTTCTTTTTGGCTTAAAGAAGGAAAAACTGCATATGATGACATATCCATATCATAGGTAATTTTTATGTGAGGAAGTATGTAGATATGAAAGGGCAGGAGAAGGTTTAACAAGTGCTTTTTGGATGTGCCATCAACTGTAACAGTGGATAGCTAAAAAAGTCAGAGCTGCCACATTTCAATAAGTAGAAGCTGCATGTTAAGCAAACATGTCTCATTTATCTGCAGAGGCATCTGTATGAGAAACTAATCTCAGTTACTATGTCCTGAATCACAGACACACTGTCACATTAAAAAAAAACCAAAACAAACCTATCTGCACTTCTGTTTTGGTTTTCACACATAAAAGGTGGAGGAGACTCACTGGAAAAAAGGGACAGAGATGAATTACAAACAATTTAGCAACAGCTAAATTAAGAAGAAATATTCTGACAGAACCTCCTCTCTCCAAGGGCAGGTCCAAGACACCACATTGCTTGACGGTAGATAAAAAGATTGCATCAAGCTTAAACTCCCAGAAGGCATTTAATATCCAAACCAGAAGGATGGTCAGAGAAATATTCTTCTTTCCTGGCTCTCCTTCTTCACATATCCAGTCAGCAACTAGATTATCAGTCATTCCCTTCACACTGCTGCAGCCACACCAGAACTTAACGCAATGCTATCCCAGGACTTCACGTACATAAGCCAAAAATGAACAAACTGACAGTGCCAAAATAAAAAGAGAAATGAACTCGTTCCCCAGCACAAAGTTCTCTTACCCAAGGGGTGTTGTCCTACCCAAGGAAATTCTAATGCAGACCTTTCACAGATTTCCTGGTGACAAAGTACAGAATACCAAGCACCACTCTGACACAGGCCAACGTCTCCGCTGGTCCCGTAATATCCCAACTGCACACACAGTGGAACAGCATTGTCCTCTTGCCATCTCCCTGCTGAGCTCTTGCTTTGCCTCAGCCTTACATTGTTTTTTTTGCTTTTTCCTTTTATTACCTAGGGATTTCCATACTAATTCATCCAAAGGAGCTCTAGTATAAAATTTAGAAAAGAAACGGGTCAATACTTCTCGAGTCCACATTTTGGGGGTGGGGGGGGAGGTCTAAAAGAATTAGATGTCCCCAATTTAAATATTAATCACACTTTTGAACACCTACAATTGCAAATACGCTACCCTGCATTATTCTGATTTCTGTATTTGTTCTGTACGGACAATTACTATTTCTGCCGCATTTTAGCCAAAACACACATCTGCAAAAAAAAAAAATTAATAAAAGATTGTTTAATCTTTTACAGACATACCTTTTCATGCAACAACAATTAAGAACTTTCCTGTGGTCTGGAATGATACGATATTTATTCCATTGCAACAGCCGTTGACAAGATTAAGTTCATCACTACCTGGTAGCTAGAATTAGTCTAAATCATGGAGAAGGGTCTTTGTTTTAGTACTCCTTATTAAATTGAACAAAGAGCACACTGAGGATGCTGGCAGCAAATGAAAGTATTTTTCATGAAATATGCAGGCTACTGCACCCAAGTCTTACAGGGTCTTTGTAAAAACCACTTCTCTACCAGCAAGTATTTTGAGGACCGGGGACTACAAATTTGTCTATGTCATCACTGCCAGTTGCACATATAGTGTTCAAAACCCACGAATACAAGATGGTCTGCTCATACCAGCCACAGCAGAATCACTCAAGCCTGAATTGAGTCAGAAACACCCATACCCGACCTCTTTGTAGTGCCTCTCACTAAATATGGCTTACATATCTTACTAGAAAGCACTACAAAATTCCTTACTTGGGTTTTTAAAAATTAATGAAATTCAACACAATGGTTATACGTTCCTAATTTCAAAAGAAAGGAAAGATTCAAAGGTCTTTTGCTTTAAAGCAAAGTACTCCCCACCTCGAGTGATGTATCTAGCTCTGGGGCCCCCAACACAAGAAAGATGTTGGGCTGTTGGAATGAGGCCAGAGCAGGGTCACTCAGATGATCAGAGGGCTGGAGCACCTCTCCTATGGCTGAGAGCTGGGGTTGTTCAGCCTGGAAAAGAGATGGTTCTGGGAAGACCTTATAGCACCTCCCAGTACCTGAAGGGAGCTCATGAGGGAGCCAGAGAGGGACTTTGTACCCATGTAGTGATAGGACAAAGGCAGACGGCCTTAAGCTGACAGAGGGCAGCTTTAGATCAGGAATTAGGAAAAAATTCTTCAGAGGGCACTGACACACTGGGCCAGGTTGCTCAGAAAGGTTGTGAACACCGCATCCCTGGATGTGTTCAAGACCAGGCTGAATGAGACTTTGAACAACCTGGCCAAGTGGAAGGTGTCCCTGCCCCTGGCAGGGGGATTAGAGTAGGTGATCTTTAAGGTTCCTTTCATGCCAAACCATTGCATGATGCTATAAGAAAGAGATGGAAGTCTTTTTCCCCTGGCTGAGGTCTGGCTGCCCCTTCTTGGAGGCAGCGCTACACTTAGAAGGCAGTTTCATAAGCCAGTCTTTCTGTAAAAGCAGACTGGATCTAGACAAGGCTCTCAGGCACGTGGTGTGATCCTTGGGGTGTCCTGCACAGGGCACAAGCTGGACTCAGTGCTCCTGATGGCTCCCTTCCAACTCAGTATATTCTATGATTCTATAAAGTACCATGCACATACTCCATTTTGCTGAAAGGCTCCACTGATTTGGAATGCTGAAACAGGGATCAGGTGCATGCTGGTCAGTAAGCTTGGCATTTATTAGAGTTTTACAGAATTAAAAGAAATGCTTTAAACTTTGAGATACTTAACTTTTATTTAAAGTTTTCATTTTTCTGAGTTCTCTGGGGGGAAGCAGCTTCTTTTAAATTATCAATTTAAAATGGTTAAATAGAAACATGAATACAGATCAGAGCAATTAAATAAGGGGTTTGTGTTGTTATTTGAAAAACCTTAATTTACAGAATGTTTAGTAGAATATAACAAATCCAGTACCCCTGTAGTGCACTTTTGTAGATTTCTTGCCAATTATACCTTCTTTCTGTGGTTTTGATTGCATAAAGTTATCAACAAGGACTAGGACCTGTTCTCATGGTGTTCCAACCTGCCTAAGTTATGTTATAGCAAACACTTCTCACATAATCTGTACAGTTATGTATCAGCTACATCTTAATCCTCCAAAGAAACTCTAGAATGATAAGATCAATTTATTCAACTGTATGTACAGTATATTTGCATATTAATAAATAAATCAATATTAAACTTAAGGTCTCTTCCCCCATATAAAAGTGACTACAGTCTGACCAGACAATCTTTGTTGCTTTTTCTTTTCTTCTTCCAAGCACACCTGTGTGACTGAGGCTGGCAGTTTCCACTTAGTTTATTACAGTGACTGCAGGAGCTGAAACCTAACAGACCAGTGCTTACATTTAAATTCCATATAGCAGGTGGATGGGAGGGAGGTACTAAAAAGTGCATCAAGACCCAACATTTTGTAGAGAAAAAAAAAAATTTCATAATGTGATCCTGGGGAAGAGAATTCAGCCCAAAAGAAGACATGCTGCAGCAAACATTATAATCGACACGTTTCTGTCTTGATGGCAAGCTGCACCACACCAATCTTGTCCCATCACATTTCAAGAATTCCAACTCAATAGATGCCACCTCCACCTCTACAAACTCACGAACACCATATTCAGTGCAAAGTGACAGTTCTTAAAATAACTGTTTGCCTTGACTCCATAACATTCTTCCTCACTGTGAAGAAAAGGCTCATTTTTTTAATTGTTTATTCCTATATACAGAAGAGCCCATATTTGCACCTCTCCATGTCTGGTAGTGATTTTTTTTTTTTTCTATCTACATTCATTAGAAATCAGAAATATAAGTGGCAATGTTTCATATTTACTGGAAGTCTTCCCATTAACCCAAAAAACTAGCTGTCCATCTTGATTTATACTTAAAGTAGCTGCACTTCATTCTTTCTCTCCAGCCCACTTTCAGTAGGGTAGAAGTCATGGGAACCTGTGGGACTGGAACACAGTTCAAGTTTGATTGTTGGAGCTGGAAGAGTGATGAGTCACATTTGAATTCAGATGTCTGTTGGCAGCACAGTGCGTGTGGACCACACTCCCATTTGGGTATCTTACAAATACAGGCTCACAGAAAGGATTTTGGCACACCTGACAGACCTTTTTGTCTGAAAGAAGAATTGGAGTTCCTCTCTGTTTAACCTAAAGAGAGAGAAAACAATTCCAAATATGAAACTAGCAAGAAAGGAAATGATGAAGCATATCATTTCAACTGTACAAAGGGACAAAACAAAAACAACTTTAAGAATCTCCTAACAAGCTTCAACTAATACTGAGCCCTGAAAAAATTTTTTTACAAATTTTGACAGGTCTCCCTCCTGGCAAAAGAAATGGTAACTCCTACTTGTTAAAGTTTCTGCAAGAACCCTGCTAATCTGTAGATTCACTTTCATGAAGCCCAGAAGTTCACCAAGGTTGTTCCTATTTCAAGGCCTACATCTTCCCTTCTGTTTTACAGGGAGAGCATAAAACTAGTTCTGAATCTAGAAGTCACGGCAAAAAACCCTAATAAATGCAGCAAGTAAAAGTGCCAAGGACATGAAGACAACTTTTGTCCTAATTCTTCAAACTTCTTCTGACTATTATATATCAAAAGGACTCAATTGTAATGCTTCAAAGTGCTTCCATTTAAAAAACCCCAGCAACCTACCTTCTCATGCTTGTAAATTAAGTTTTCAGCTTGTGCTAAGCTAAGTGCAACCTGAGTCATTCTTTTTGTGTGGATGCTTTGTCTCACTGCTCCGGCCAGGAACGGGGAGAGGAGCTGCACTGACCAGCTGTCAGGCACCACCTGCAAAACTAGACCCGCGTCAAATTCAGCAGCGTGGTTATTCAAGAGATCCACAGCAGCCATGACTAGCGCACAATCCGAAGTGCCTGGAGTTAAATACACTGACAGCAGCATATGGAAAAGCCTCTGTCTGTACTGCACGTCTCTGTTCTCAGAGTTCCATATGCAGTATTCTTCAGCAGCGTGGAAGTCCTTTAACTCGTGGACAAGGATATGCAAAGCCTTCTCATGTTCTTCTAGTTTCCCGTATAAAATTGCACTTTCCATATGAAGGTCTGTGCCCTGGATTTTGTCTGTTAAGTGAGAAACAAGGCAATATTTGCTCAGTGGAATAGACAACTGCTCCCTCTCCCAGAGTTAATGCAAACAAACCCCCAGAACTCAACTCCTGCTATTTTTGTAGGGGCGCTGGCAACTATAGAGAGAACAGATCACAGCATCAACCAGGATGGAAGAGACCTCTGAGATCATCGAGTCCAACCCATGAGTCAACACCACCCTGTCAAACTAGATGCTTGTAAGCACAGGAGTGCCTAGATGTATGGAAATACATCTCCAAAAAAAGAGCATCACCAAATCTGAGACAAAAAAATTACTAAATAACAGGTGATAAGCCACTGTCCCTGCTATCTTTTTAATTCCAGCAGGTCAGTCTTGCCCACTTCTGCACACACTGCTACCATGTATAAAAAACTGTAAAATGAAGCTGCAATATTAAGCTCTGCTTCTCCCAGTACTACAGGAAGGTAAAAAATAAAGTCCATAAAACCCAATAAAGATCAAACAGTATTTTCCTTTAAGAAAAGGACACTACAAACCCTTAATCCAGTCTGACAGTTTAAAGTTTAAGTGTCAGTATAGGCAGGTGGAGTGACAATTTCATCTGGTATTTCAAGATAAAGTAGAAAATCCTCTACTTATTGTAAAGGTGATAAAGATTTGGCATAGGCCTATACAAAATGTATGGAAATACAATGTTTTTCTCAACATAATATTCTGGGTATCAAGGAGAAACACACTACCTGGCATTGATGTCACTTGCTTGTAACATTAGAATTGAAATACAGGATTTCTAACGTGACAGAAAATAATCTGTTTTGTAACTCTTGCCCTTAAAAATTTATTTAAAAACTAAAAGATGAAAAAGAGCAAGAGTTTCAATGACTGTTATACTTGAACATTATCTGTCATAAACCATTTAACATCTTTCAGTGCAGTAACAAGTCACTTCCCCTTCATTCACTATTCCATCCTTCCTTTCATCCTTCAGCCATCATCCTCCATACCAGAGAGGCTTTAAATGCTTGACTTCTTAATTGAAGAATGTGTTTGCATTCCAGTGGATGAAACATTAAACATTAACCATTATAAGCACCAACTGAGGAAAAGATTCAGTTCAACTGTTGCTTGCCTTATACCAACAGTAAGATGTATGTTGCACTTTTCACTCAAAAACATGCTCATGCTTTTGTTTAACACGAACCCCAGGTTTCTGGGTCAGAATTTTAGGGTTGTGGATAACAAACAAATCCCTGATAATCAAAGTCCTCCAGGTTTCACTTCCATTCACTGAAAAACAGACTGCTTAAAAATAAACTTGTAAATAAATAAATAAATAAATAAACTTTCATTTGCAAAAGGTTGTCATGTGCTCATCATTAAAAAAGCACTGACTATTACAACAATTGTATGAAGCTATTTTGTCTAGTCAGTTATGACTATTCGGTCTTTGGTGCAGTGCCAAGCATATTATTGTACCTCACGAGCTATGGGAGATCAAGGACAGCACTAAATGTTGATACGACTTCTAAATTAACTTGTGACTGTTGGAAATACAGCACAGACACCTAGAAACCTCAGATCTTGCAGTTTTATATCCTTGCAAGGATGTTTCCTTGCAAGTATGTCACTGCTGGAAGTGACATACAGCATTTCTAACAGACAACGTGCAACTTACCCAAAATAAAGCGAATTCTATAAAGATCAGATTTCTGAAGCAAACTACGTAATTTAAGCAGCAGTTCAGTTGTTTCTGTACAATTATCTGTGGTCTCAGATTTTAGCTGGGTTATTGCCTCCAAGTACAAGACAGCTAGATGAGTATGGTACTTCTCTTTCTACAGATGAAAAGAACAATGTTAGCTCAGTTTGCAAAGGCAACTTCCTCTCCCCATCAATAACAGTGATGAATATTTATTTAATTACATAAAAATGTGTTTTAACTTACTTAATTTGAATTAATCACAAAGTCTTTTGTCCGTAGATAGACAACTTAATTCAGATCAGCTTCACAAAATACACTACACCTCTAAGCATGGGATTCCTCATATTCAGGTAAGTTCTTTGACCTTTTCTAATTCTGCAATAAAATCTGACAAAGCCATCAGAGGTAGACAAGCACTCTGTAGGTACAGTACGTTTTTGTACCAATATTCATCAAAACAAGTTAATGATTTGACTGTTGGAATATTCTCAATCATTCAATCTGAATAATTTACAAGAATCTAGTAATTTCTAAAGACCAAACTGCCAGCCTTTACTAGCAGGTAGATTTCGTTGTAAATTATTTTTGTTACAAATATTCTACAAGGCACTGTGTATAACTCAAAAAGTTTTTTTGAAAATATCCATGATACCAGAGACTACTACCTTCATCACTCATGGTGTAACCTTGCATATTTGCAATAGCAATAAACTACTGATCCAACATGTGTATTTGAAGAATGTAAATTAGTAAACTGGTCATAATTTCTGCCAAGTTTTTCACTGTTCATTTCCTTGCTTTATTTGTAGGTTAAAGTAATTTCTCCTGTGCCTAAAATGTCTCATCTCCAAATACAACAATGTTTGGCTGCTTTTGTATTGTGCTAAAAAACCCAGAAGTAGAGTACACTATCACTTAGGACTTGTGAATGCATCTTTTGGACATTCAACATTCAGAGTGATTTGGAATTCTTCAGCAAGGGGTGCATGGTTTAATTTGATCATTAATTGCTCAAATCTCTCCAGAAAGACAGAATCAAACATTCCTACTTGCAAAACATTGAATTAGCAATTTTAATATACTGCTGCCACAGTGCACTAGGATTAGCAGTTGCTCAACCTTTTTTTTTACGATCTTAACAGGAGGTTTGAGCCTCAGTGAAACAGAAAAGTGTGCAATAATCAGATGTAAAAAAAAACAAACCAGTCTGAGTGGAGGTAACCAACCATCTTGTCATCAAGACAGTTTAAAAGTTCAAAATAATTCAGTTATCCACTCCTCATTTAATCTAAAAACCATTCCTACCCTACTCTGAGTACATCTGAAAGACTTCACATTATGCCTATTTCTTCTAGACTTTGCCTTTTTCGAGGCTTGTTGATCATAATCTGCATTCTGAATCCTATGCCTACCTTTTAGCATTCTCACAGGACTCACCTCTATCTTTCTTTCCAGTACTAGATGCTCTAGATATTTGACACGAGCTTTAGGATATTTGTTAAGGCAACTGATGATATCATCCGGATTAATGCTTTTCTCCTGTTCTTCCAAAGGCCTTTTAGTGAAAATCTGTACGCCGACCTAGAAAGAGTTAAATGCATTTAAGAACTCAGGGGCGACTATTTTATTAAATAAGTATTTAAAATGAAAAGGTAAGAGCACTGTTGGATTAGTTAGTGCATTATTCAGGAAGATAAACAACAAAAACCCCTGCTCAACACCACAGGATGAAACTATGTAGTGCTTACTGTGATCTCACTCACTCCCATCTCCACTGCCTCAATCTGTAGTCTATACATCATCCAGCCTAAAATCCTTGGTTTGGGCACAACTTCCACCAGCCACAAAGAGTACTGAACAGATCTGCACAACTACAGCACAAGAGACTTCAGCCTTTGCAGCAGGAAAGTTTAATTTAGAGACCAGAATGTTCTAAATCTTTTCACATGTGACGACACAGACAAGAGCAAGAGATTTCTGTAATGACCAAAACAAAAGTTTAGAAATCTGCCATGGTACAAAATAACTAAGCTCTAAATTAATACAGATCAGGAAGTGCCAAGTTCCAACAGCACAGACTGTCTGATACAGGATCAAAGCATCTCACTTAACAGCACACCACACTAAGAGATGTTACAATTTTTTTTTTTTTTCAATTTTTGGTGGATTAAGTTAATTCCGCTATAAATGAAGTTTTGTCTTAAATGAAGGCTATTTATTCCAAGTCCTAATGTACACAGATACGACCCATTTGTGGAACATCTTTAAAAAAGAAGCAGCAGCAAGAATTAATCTGTTAGGTGATCAATCAGTTGATTATTTTCAGATTTGAAAATTATCTTACTCAATATGAAGAAAACAGAAGACATGCTGTATTTTTCATTGTACAGAATGCCCTAAACTTTGTTTTCACAATTAAAAGAGGCAGTTATCACTAGCACTTGCCAAGAGAGGGACTTGGAAGAATTTAGAACCTGGAAGTTTTCTTCTGCTGATCACAATTTAACTGGCTTTATATATTCTGCAGAAAGGCCAATTAACTATCAGGAAGGACCAACATTAAGGAAAACTCAAACACCACTGCAGAGAAACAGTGATATTCTGTGAAAAGTATATCAATCACAAACCTCTTCATTTTTTTGTAAAATCCATTCATAATACTTCCACACAAGGTCTTGGTCTGAGCAGAATGTCAGGAAGTCTACGATATATTCATAGAGATCCGAACGCGTAGAATCTTCAATGTCTCCATCAACTATTTTCACCCATAACTGCAACAAAAACGTACACATATGGAAGAGCTTAAAACATGTAACTCTTCCACCTCAAAATGCGTGCAAGCTACTACAAGATTTGTGGAATTAGAAAGAGTTGCCAGGAACACCAATTACAAGGAACCTCACTGGTCACTAAACTTCTGCCATCACAGTCTTCTCTTGCACCTGCCCCATTCACCAAGTTCAGACCCCATGCCATGTGGGTTCTCATTCTGAGAGCGACTGAAGGAGGTACACTAATCACAAAGAAAGCTTCTATCAAATGTCCTTCTCTCCAATGCATGGTATACTTTTCATGTGTTCTGTGTGTGTGTAAGATTAAAAGCAAATTATAAAAGCAACTTAGAAGAAAATCTGAGTTTTTGCTCTTCTTTCATTGTGACTGAAGAACTTCAAGTACCACATGACATTGCTTTTATATACATTATAATCGGAATTAAAAGGTGCAAGGGGTCTAGCAGACCAGTTTAACTATAAACCTTGTTTCTTGAAACATCAAGTAAAATATTTTGCATATGACAAAGGTACATATTGCTTTTGTTGTCCTTACTGGTTTTCTGCTCAGACAATCACTATTTACTCAACTGACCTGAATGCATCTGACAGGGTTACTATGATTAATGTGCTCAAAAAGCCACACAATAAGGCAAACTACTCAAGGTACTGGATGTGGCCTGAAACACACATGCTACGTATTCATCAAGAACTTACTAATTTCTCTAGATGAAGTTATGCAGACAGGAACAACAAAATTACTGTGTGACATCGGATGGAGGGTCCCCAGAGGTATTACTAACCCAGCTGAAACCTAAGATCTTGCAGAATGCATTCACTCTCCATCATCAGATAAGGAAATAGACTCTCAGTTGCTGTCAGTGTCTGCCATAAGATTATAATACTGTTTTGCTGTGTGTACACAGATCAATCAGCACAGGGTATGCTCCTGAAGTCCCATAAATATCTTTTAAAGTGATCACTTGCTTATTTCAGCATTTCTGTCTATCTTTTAGGAATTCAAACATTTGTTCTGGTGTGCAGAGTTTTGCTTTAAAAATAGCATATGTGCAGCTAAATAGGTGTCAACTTGAGTAAGCTCTTCAGACTTTTCACATCTAGCATATTAATTTATTCAAGGAAGTCTTAACATAAGTTTCAAGTTTCTCATATATATAGATATATACGCACATACACATCACAACTTCTCAAACAGATAAATCAACACCTCAGATTTTTATCTCAGAGCTAAACCAGTATTTTGGAATGGTTTACAAATGACAGTAAAAGCTTTATTCTAACCTGAAGTGCTGCAGCATCCTGACCATTGTAATGATACAGGAGACCAAGTGCAAAATACCTGCAAAGAATGAGAAAATAATATTAAAATCGCTAGAACTTTCCCATTGATTTAATTATGGATAGATTAGCACAGAGTATAGCAAATAATTGCTTACAATGACATGCACATGGCCATGTCTACACTTGAACAAGTCTCTGTAGGCTGTTTTTCTAAATCGAAGGAGAGAAGTTCTGCCTTAAAAATGTGTCTCCATCGTTCCTGTCCCTCAGACAGTTTCCAGTTACTAGATCCAACTCAGATAAAGTATGTGCCAAATTAGAGATGTTTCCCATGCCACTCTTTCAATTTTATGTTAACATAAAGACTTAACACACAATTCAAAATAGATACTCCTCCAATACTTAATCAGCTTTCATTAAATCAAATTTCACTATGCTTTTACTTAGAACTTTGTTTTACTATCAGAAACGTGTTTTTTCTTTATTGCAGCATGAAGTCAAAGAAGAGCTCTGTACAGTGCCATTACAGAGTGGTTTTTGTGTACTGTAAGAAAAATACAACTAAGTTCTGCAATGGCTGTTCTCATGGGACAATGTTCTAACATTCATTCACATCTACAGAAGTAGAGGCCGTGCAAACCACATTTGCCAAGAGGTTTTTAACAAAACACCTGAAACAAATGAAATCACTCTAAAGATAACCACAATTAAAGACTCTGCCTTACCACTGTAGTTGCTGCTACTGCACCACACAGTTTAAAGCTTAAAGAAATTAAAACCAAAACAGACATACTACCTAGGACTGGAGTTTGTATTTTACACATTTACTATCTAATGTTTCCTGCTTAATGACTGTCAATTCTCTGCCTGCTGGCATTTACGATTTGAAGTCATTTGCACTCAGACTTAAGGAACCTCCTTTTGGTGAATCAGTGGGAGCACAAACTATGCAATTCAAAAGTAAGAGCTCCTTCCCTGAATAAGCAACAATTTTAAAGCCAGCTAACTGGTTAATAGCTCCTATCTAACGTAGTGAGTGCTTTAAGGCATCTCTTAATTTTGTGTACAACTACTTCAGCCATTCAACTCTCCCATTATCACAAGGGCAAACCATTCACTTTTTTCTCCCAAACCTGTATCAATTCTTTATTGTTGTGTTGGATACAGAAACTTTTACATGGAGAACTCGCTATTTACCATGCATTTCCTTTGCCTCAGTCAACAGCTTTTCACCAATATTTATAAATGCTAACAATGTCAATTCAGACTGACTTGTCTTTTGGATCTGTGAGCACAGAAACTGCAAGTACTTGAACACATCGTTCTAGAAGCCAGTAGCATCTAAGAAGTTTCCCTCTGGTCTCAAAGGTGCGAGAGTCAAAAAATCCACTCACTTTTTGTGTTTTTCCAACCAGGCAGCACTGTCTGTCAAAAGACAAAAGTTCTCTGAAACCAGCAGGTCCAGCAGGCTTTCATGATTTGCCTCTGCATATAGCTTGAGTAAAGCTGTGTCGATATCCTCCTTGTAGCCATTTGCAACCTCAGTGCTGCGGACTTCATTCAAGTAACTCATGAGGAATCGTTTGCATTTTGTCATCTTCTCCTGGTCCCCTTGGGTCAGCTGGTTTAGGTCGGCGTACTCGTGCAGAGGGGGATGAGACCGGATAAATGAAGAGGAAGTAGGCAACAGGAAGGGGTAGAGAGAGATCAGCTCCCGGACGTCAAGCTGGCCGCTTCTGCAATTACAGTGTCAAACTAGATGAAGCAAAAAGAAAGAAAAAGTATACATAGGCACAAAAAAAAAAGATGTGTGCTCACATATGCTTAGAGTCAGGACACTAACAGGTTGTCAGTTTCTGAAAGGCATTGTCTTCTATGCTGGAGAAAATATATGCAGAACAAATCTGCTTTTTTTTTTTTTTGCTATTTCTTTATTTATCATTCTTTTTCCTTCTCTAAACACTGGAAGCTCCAAGAATTTGGAGACTAACTAGCCTTATGCTTTTGACATCCTACAGCTGAAAGGCACATATACTTTTATCCACCAGCAAGTTGTAATATAAATATGCCATGCAAAACATTTTTCTTTCAGCCTAGATTGAAATTCCTCAAGCTTTTGAAGAATGCATGTTATGACAGAAGAATAAAATGAATGGGATCTTTTTTTGGGTTGTGGTTGTGTGATGGACTGAATGTTATTTATGTCTTTAACAATACAAAGAAAGACTTTTGTCAAACTGAAAGGAAGCAACAGCCTGTCTGCAGCCACCAAAGCACTTTTCCCTTCCTGCAATGCCTCTTGACTGGAATTTGGACTGTGACTGGGAACTTGAGATAGGACTGTTGTCTAACCATCTCAGGTCTGAGGAGAGGTAAACAAGGTTCAGGGAAGAATGTCTCTGTGTTAAGAATCCCCCCTAGCTGAGCTCAGTGGGTGGTGGGGGAGAAGGGTTTTGGGTGTGTGATGGTGAAATCTCTCCTCACCAAACCAAAGGAGTAACCCCCACCCCCACAGCCCCAGGAAGACCAGGTACACATGGGACATGCACATGAGAGGCAGCTGAGAAGGGGTCATAAACCACCAAAGACCCCCAAAGTGCCCCCAGATTCATTCCTGAGACCTTCCACCACCAGAAGACTGCACGTGATCCAAGTGAGGCAATAAGTCTGGAGTCTGTTACAAGACCTTGCAAAGCCTCCCCCCATCAATGGGATGTGCCTGGCATCTCCTGAATGGATACTAATCCACTGGACTCTGTGTTTTTGGGAAACACTCACCACCAAGAAGACCAGAAGAGCTGGTCTAACAGGACACTGCCAGGTTACATACCATGGTGATACATTCTCTTATTTTACCTCTCTCTGTCACTCTCTTTCTTCTCCCTCGCCAACCCCTTTTTCCTATTTCTTTCTATCTGTCTTTCTCTCACATTTACCATTAAATAAAACCCATTCTATTGACTTTGGCATCTAGTCTTGTTTGCACCTTAATTCAGGTACAGGCACTTCTAATAATTTTAATAACCAGATCACAACAAGTTGTTGGGGGTTTTTTGGTTCAGGGTTTTTTTAATTTTTTTTTTTTTTTACATATGGCAAAAAACTTCCTAATTTTCATGGCCAGAATGACCTCTCTTCCCAGGCCTTGCTTCAGGAGAACAGCAAGACATCAGGATTTATATTTTAGTTCACTGTCAAAAGCTTTAATTCAGAATTCATCTTTAAAGATGAACATTCTTGAAATAAAGGAGATAAAAAAAAAAAGATCAAAATTATCTTGACCATTCTCTGAAAGAAACTGTTTTGTTACTATACAGTTGCAAGTAAAACTGTAAAAATAGTTATTATCTATATATGAAGAATATATCTTCACAACCTTGATTGGAATGAATTCCAAAAAGAAACAAGTTACAACCCAGATGTAGACAAAGCAGTAGATTTCTTCAGGCAGTAAAGTGTGAAAGATCCTCACAAGCAGGCTCATCCCTTCCTTACTGTTGTAAAGTAACTGAAGAGTGGGGCATGCCCTGCATTGTTCACTTCTCACCATTGACACAGTTCCAAAACCATCCAGGAAATATGAACTAGTGGGAAGCATCACCATGACTACCTTTCTAAACTACCTGTTTAGAACTTCTTTTTAATACTGTCTTTTGGCTACAAAAACCTATAACAGAAGAATGAAATTCTGAGACAGCTGCAGCAACAGCAACTTTAAAAGCAGCAAGTATCCTGCTCCAGAATCTAGTGACTGCAGAGCACAGGAACAGCAACATGGACAACAGAGGACCACACCACAGAAAAATGTGAATATGGGAAGCCTTCCCATGAGAAAAGGCTTGAACAGCAGGTTTTCCTGATTTATACACAGAGCTCCTACTGCCTAAAACCCACCTCCTCACTAGAAAGGCTCACCTCTTAACAAGGGTAAAGTGTTCATGTCTACTTTGCTGATTTCTGCAGTTGAAATATCTTTTTAATCCCTCTTTGTAGGCTTAATATTTGGCTTAGAAATGCTGAGATCTACATTACGACAGAATTCACAAGGAGAAAAAGACTTTTTTTTTTAAGAGACAGAATAACCAAGAAGTAGCAAGTTCTGTCAGTGGTGTGACCTGATGGTTCAAAGAACATTTGAGCTTTCAGTATGAACTCGTTACAGTAGTCTAACTGCAGTTTTGACTAGTCCAACTACTCTGAAAGTTTAAGTGCTGAGGACCACCAGATAAAATATATTCCATGAGATGTTTTACACTAGAAAACTAACCCTATTTGAAGAAAGATTTTTTTTTTTTTTTGCTCCAAGGTTCTTCCCTGATTCATTTTAGAACAAAAGTTAACCCATAACTTAAATATCATCCACAGGCTACTCAAAATTCATGCAAAACAAGGAGTCGATAAATTTGGAGAAATTCATATATAAACATTGGTTCCCTGGCAAGCTAAACTGTCAAGTATTTGGAGGTGGCCTAAGCTTAAGATGGAAACTATGATCATGGAGATGGATGAGATTAAAAAATGGTATATTTAAATATGCCCCTTATAACAATTTTCAAAACATTTTCCAACTTCTACAGTAGCTTCTGAGCCCTTTCATTTTACCATCCAACTTTTCCTAGATGACAAAGCAGTCAGCTACTTCACCTATGACTTCACAGACTCTGGCCTCAATGATGATCTGTTTCCCAAAGGAGAAATAGCTTTTGAGGAGAACCAGCTTCCAAGCTGGGATAGCCCAAAGCCTGGGCTCTCAGTAGTTCTCTCAGCAGGTCTGACACAAGCTCATGTTATACAGTTTTGCTCTCCCCACAGCAGTGGCAATCAGCAATCAAGCGGCCTCCTTAAAAGGAGGTTTCCACAAGCTTCTTAAGGAAAACCAGTAAATACCAAACATGACCCAACAATGCATGAATGGCTAACATTCATCCCAAGACTTATGGCTTCTGGGGTCTGTGCATGTTTTATGGCTCTTTCCACCACATTTGGACAAAACCATTAAAGAGCAGGTAGAAAGGACCTCACCTCTTTCAACATACATCCCAGTCTTCAGCTTCTAACATCTCAGGCTTAGCAAAATACAGGTAGGAACTTATCTCACAGTATAAAACAAACTTGTAGGCAGAACCTACAAGTTTTCAGGACACTTCAGTCTAAACTCAGACCATCATATTTACAGATATCACAGATGTCAAAGAAGTCTACAGTATTAGTTATTTTGCCCAGATTCCACTGGCTGTAATAGAAGCTTATATTCTCAAATCATTTAAGATGCAAATCTTACACTGCCCCTCCTTCTTATTTCTCAAGGTATAAGTACCAGCAATTTTTTACCCTTTCCAGTGTAGGAGACACTTATTCCTAAGGTCTCTCTATAGGTTTCTCAGGTGAGAGAAATACTGTGAAAAGAGTTAACATTTTGATTTGTTAAAAAGAGCAGCAAAGTTTAGAAAAGTATCTGGTGTGTCAAAATGTAAGCAACATCTAATCAGTGAAAAAACACTGAAGAGAACTGGTTTCACTGTGACAGCTGCCAACACCTCAGTAAGACATCTACAATTTAGCAAATGGCCTACTAAACATCACTGATTGGTCTAAATGCCTGTGACCCTCTAATGATAGTAACATGAAATAGCATACATATAAATCACAGCTACATAACACAAACAAACATAATTCTGTTATTGTTTATAACAGAACTGTCAGACCAAAGAAGCCCTACTATGACAGCTTGCTCAGCTTAAGATTAACTGATCCAGCTGAGGAAAATTCTCCTCCCTTTGTTGGGTTACTTGAGTTTCAATAAAACCTTCTTCAGTATTCAGGAGTATCAGCATAACCACAAGGAACTTTGCAAAGTATTCCTCCTAAAAGTTTCAGTATTTAAGAACTAAGAATCTAAGCATAAGATATAACTGTTTCTTGACAAGGTTATCCAAGAGGGATAACTGATGCAAGAAAACAAAGACCTTTAATCCAATATAGTAGTTTCCCCAGCTAACCTGTAACTGACAGGTATTTTCTGAGTAGTGAGATAATCTCACTTCATATTTGTCCAGAAGGCTCAATCACACCAAGTTCCTGAAGATGCTGCTGTCCCTTTGTCTCACTGCTTAAACCCATCTTTTCTCAGATAGGTACCAAGTTTCCCTTTGGAATTAAGACTGAAGTTACTTCTTACTAACACAACACCTGCAGAGTAACACATCAGGATGGGAGAAGTGTTTGCACAGACTGCCATTATCTTTCCCATTTTTCCTCTGAGCATCAGGAAGTTTAAAATGAACAGGATTGATTAAGAGTGTATCAGGGCACACAGAGGTACTACTCTAATTGGGTGTGTTCACCAGGGCTGAAAATCAAGGAAACTGAAGCTTTTTTAGAGTCACCAAAATACTTTGAATAGTTTATGCATGGCTGAACAGAAGAAAAACACAGATAACTTATCCTGGCTTTTTAACTCGAGCAGATCTCAGCAATTCATAAACTGTTGTTCTGCTTTGGAGTTGCAGCTTTTAGAGGAAGGAAACAGCCTGGAATGCTGACTCAGATACAAAATTCATGGCTGGACAGCATATTTTCTCATGAAGCATGTTTGTTTCTGTAGAGAAGCTTCCACAATTCTATTCATTAAAGCTTATTTGTCACATGGATTGATAGCTGGATGGAGGCTGCATAACTGATCTTGACTCCTTCCACAAGGTGGTTGAGCTCCCTGCAGGATTCATTCCCCTCTTCTCACTGCTTTTCAAAGATTCCAAACTAGGTACAGGTTGTACTCCCACTTCAGATACACAACACAGGGTTCAGACACACAGTGTGTGTGGAAGATTATAAGGGGGGAGGAAGACTGCAAGTTGCTCACTAATGGCAAAAATTACATGGTGATACAGAACATGGCTGTAGCTGGAACAGATTGTGAATAAATGCCATTCAGGCCTTTCCTGTTAGTCCCTCATTCTCGCTCAGAGTACACTGCCCATTTAAGCCCAGTGTCTCCCATTATACTGGTGAGCAGGAGGCAAAATGCCAAAGTCTCTCATCAGTAGCAGAGTTCCCCAAAACCTTTTCCTCAATGTATTTCCATAAACCCAAGGACAACTTTTTTCCTACACTGTACGTGCTTACAGTATACAGAAAACTGTCTAAGCTTAATCCTATTCTACAGACTCTACATAGATTTAAAGTGAATTTCAGCAAATAACAAGGAGAGTTGTTTTATGTAGTCAACATGGATTACACTAACTACAGACAGTGCCCCATCACAGAATGAGGCATGGCTAGCAGAAATGAAATTATCAGGTAGAATAAAGATAACTAGTTGAATTTTCTTAATGCAAGTGAAATACCAAGGTCAATTTATAAAGATGTGACTGCTGAATTGGCTAAATTTGGAAAGTTTATACAGACTTTATACAGACCTCAAGAACAAATAATCAATCTGCTTTCTGGAAAAGGTCTAGCAGAACAAGTGTTAAATTCAGTATCAGCATCCTCAAAAACGTTAGTGCAATTGTGTCAATAGTATTTAAATTATAACTAAAATTTAAATTATACCTTTTTGTTAAAAGTATTTAAAAAAAGAGAACAAGGCAATATTCATGCTGTAAGTCACAGCACAGGCTCAACAATAAAGCCTTGACCTTCATGGGCATAAAGTAAAAAAACCTCCACACATACAACACTCAAATACCTAAAGGTACTGCTAGTATACAAAAGAAAAAAACCAGTTGCATTAAACTCTTCAGCTATAAAGTAGTTTCAACGTTACTCTGTTCTTACCCCCAACAAAAACATTTTATCACAGTAAACTCACACCTGCATCAAAAGCCATTCAAGTTTTTAAACCAAGAACACTAATTCTTTATTTAAAGAAGGTAAAGTAATAAATTTCTTGTCACACAATTACCTGAAGAGTTCTTTTGCTTCAAGGAACTGAAGCTGTGCAAACTGTATAAAACCTGCTTGCTGCAGGATTCGTTTGTACATTACCTATGAAAAAGAAGGGGGGAAAGAAAAGGTTTATTATATTTGTATTTACATAGTGCTGAATCCTACTGCAACAGCTACCTGCCACAACACTGAACACGTGATCTTCAAACACACTTGTCAAGTCACATGCAAAATAAAGCCTTGATCCTCCACATTTTCAGTTATGTACCTACTGAATCTGCTGCCCAGACTCAGTTTCTTACACAAATGTGTGTGAACACAACACTGCTCAGGGTCCTTATTAAAAGCCAACTCAAAAAACAGTAAGTTGAACTTTTCTTGTTCACATAGTGACTTATTTGGCATACATTGACTTGCCTCAAGTTTCTGCTCGAGTTATTTGTTAATATAAAAGCCAACGGTTATCTTTGAAGTTCTCCACGATTCAGTAAGCAAAAATAAATAAAAAAAAAAGGTAAGGATGGTCCCACTTGACCACACACAGCCTGTCATCTCACTGCTGCAGTCAACCTTGCTGGCAATTCTCAGTCTTGTTTCTCCAGCTGATGATCATAGTTTTTTGACTTTTGTTATTTTGATTTTTTTAAAAATAAAAACACTTCCAAAGCAGTTCAACTTATCCAATATGAAGTACATTATGCAATGTAGATCAAAATATAGTTAAAAACCAACTAAAACATGAAAAGCTATTTGTTATCAAGTTTTACTGTTAAGGTCACACCTAGACAGAAAATGTTGAAAAGAAGTTCATTACAAAAAGAACACAAGAACTACTTTAACGATGGGTAACTATTAAATCTGAATGGTCAACCAATTACCACAAGATTACATGAAATCCTTGTGCCCAGAATATTTTGTAACAGCAAAAGAGAACTACTAAAAGCAAGGAACCTAAACTGTGCTCTGCAAAGCATCCCGTTTTTGACAACATCGGTATTTTGGCAAATACACCCAGCTACCTCCACAGGCCTTCTTCAGTTTTTCCCTTCACCTTGCTCATGAACATACAGCTTTCTAACATTCCACATTGTACATGAAGGCAGACTTAAAACACACTTAAAAAACCATTTTCAATGAAAATACCCTGGGAAACTACAATAAAATAGGAACACATTCCAGGCAGAAATTACTAGGGAACATGAGACCTCAAGTACAGTGGATTGATTTTGTAACTGATGATTTTTAACCTCGATTAAAGATTATGGATCTACCAAGAGAAGAGCTTGGTTTCAGTCCATTTAGTCATGCTTTAACTAATGGTTTGTCTTAAGGAAATAGTTAATCTTGGTAATTAGCAAGCCATGAAAATGTATTGATTTGTAAGGTTCTGTGGGAATTTTCTTGACTTCCCAGTGTGGAGGAGAGAAGGGGAAACAGAAATGTTACCTGGCACACTTTTCCAGACAAATAGGAAAATATAAAATTAATATAACAATATAAAATTAAATGAACAATATTTCATGACTTCTTTATATGAATTAATGTTTTACATTAATGTGTAATAATTCAAAATATACAGTTAACTAAATTTAGTTAACTAAAGCTAAAAGGGTATTTAACTACAGTTATGAAGTAAAAATTCCTTAGGTGATTAATTCACAAATTAGACAAAATATTGTGGATTTCTGACAGTGTTATTACATCAATACACAGTAATCTGTGAACTGATACCCACCTGGTCACATTTTTAAGGTCACTGCTAAAGGATTTCAATCTGCAAATATCTGTATCTTGTGGCAGTAGCAGAACTTTAAAATCTGGCTTGACTTTACAGGGAAAGTCTTCTCACCATGCTGACTAGTATCAAAAGTAGATAGGCTGGGTTTTTTTTCCCCCCTCAAAGTCTGTTTTCCATTTTTGCAACAGAATGATCACTAAAATTTACGTATTTAGTAAATTATGATACTGTAATTAAGTTTGAATTTCTCTAAGACAGTGAAAATACTGCTTTAATTGCAGAGTTTAGTCTGTACAGCATCTTTTCAACAAAAAGTTGAAAAGAGCACATTAATAGTGTAACTATAGCTTGAAGGAATCAGTTTTAAATTTGAACTGATTAAGTGGTATTCACTGTTGTTTAAACATTGACATACCTTCACTTCTCCCTGCATGCAACAAAAAAGTTGTTGAATATCTACAGACAGGTGCTGTCCCAACTTTTTAAAGATGCAGTGATGGAATAGGGAGTATCCAAGTAGATTTTTAGTCAACAAGATAAACATTAGACATTAAGTTGTCCTGGGGTAAAGATTATGGAAGCAACAAACCAGACTGTCTGTGGAAAATCCAATATTCCCCGTCTGACAGGTTGCTAAGAATGAGCTAGACCTATATGCCAAATACATACTTCCGTTTATGATAGAAAAAGCACCTTGAGTTCTTTCAGAACCAAAGGCCAGAATACTGCAACGGGCTTTTTTAAAAAAAGTATTAAGTTACATCCAGTCAAAATTCAACACACTGTTTAGTCCCTTATAATTTCTGAAGAACTACCATAAGACTTGAAATGCTTTAGACAAATTCTATATTGCTGACTGAATTCACATAAAAAAACCCACAAAATAAATTTTGTATTAATTCATGTCTGAAAAAGCCCTAGACAAGAGAAAGATGATTGCTGAAGCTGCAAAAGCTATAACAAAGCCTTAATTCTCATAACTGGCAGAAAAATCCTTTCTAAAATGGTCAGAATTACCAACTAAACTACAATGTATAGAAGAATTTTTCTAGAAAGCTACTTTGTCTTTTGGTCAGGTTTGGGTGCAGTTAATATGTTTTTTTTGAAACTAAAAAGAAATGAGAACAAAAAAAAAAAGAAAAGAGAGATACCTATGCAAGATGTGTGTCAATCTAACCAAGGTCTTCACTACCATCAACCATGATTTCTGCAAACGTCAGCTGTCCTGAAAAATTAATAAGTAGTATTCAGTCATTTCATGGTAGCATGGTAGAAAAGCCTTTGTATTCTTCTATCAAAAATGATATCCAGTAAAGTCATCTCCTTGGAACACTTCAGTTTAGCATTTTTTACCTAGCAGGAATTCCTGATGCTCAAAGATATTTTCATCTGATTTGGCAGAGCTAAATTTTCAGTCTGTAGGGACCACAGGTTAAATAACAAGTTAGAGCTACTAATGCATGACCTGCTACTTTCCAATAACTAAATATTGACTATTCAAATAACTCTGAGTACAGTACTTCATTGCTATTCCACTATCATTCTGCATTACTAGCACATATATATTTATGCTGATATACAGAGGGAGAGCATGCACCTGTGAATGCATGCAATGACAAAGTACTGAACTGTAGGAAAAATACTCATGTCCTCAAGATCTGCCCTACAATGCCCTGAGTAAATTCAAGTCACACGTAAGATGGCAACAGTCACTGCAAACTGCAGAACTAAAGCATCACGTGGCAAAGGGGACACTATACTTTGCAAACCAGACAATTAGAATCAGTATTCTGCATGGATAAGTTATAGTGGATGGATCAAGTGTCTTAATGCCAAACCTAGGCATTTCTTCCTACTGCTTGCATACAATGGCAAAATAAACCCTTGAAATGATGGTCAGCTCCTCAGGATTCAGCAAAGCTTGCAAAATAGATACCCAAAGATACCTGTTAGAAGATACCTATTATCTATCTAACATCTATTATCTGAAGATAGTTTTTAGACAGGACTTAAAAATGAGTGACTGTGTGATCAGTTAAAGCATGCCAAAGAAATGTTCCAAAAAGCACATGCATGGTATTTAATTTGGTTGAGCTCCATCAAATTTACATTACACGAGACCACAGTAAAAGAAAGTCTGATGCGCTTGTAACAGACCTGTAAGGACAGCACTTGGTATCGGAGTCCCATTAGAAAGCAAGCTCAAAATTCTGCATTTCCAGCTACAGAGCAGCTCTGAAAAATTGCACTAACATCTCAACAACTAAGTCAAGTTGGGTCATTTTAATATGTGTCAGTGGGAGACTCCATCAATTCAAACTGGTTAATACCAGTTTGCAAATACAGACCAGAACAGAACAGGCTATTTTGCTTGCAAGTGCTATGTTTTCTGTTTTTCAGCCCTAGCATTGACTTAAAGTAAGTGAACACTTTTAAGGGCACATTAAGCTAGAAAGAACTTAGATTATTCTAGGAAACTAATTTCAGGAAAACAGACACTGTGCACGTAAGATACCTGTGGACAGAAAGTAACTTGTCCTAAAGACTGAAAAATCATAAATGCAAGAAAACTTAGGAGGAATGAGATTTGACATCACATATTTTAGGTAATAAACTGCAGTTCATCCTGTGGCAAAACACAGAAAGACATCTCCCACGCTACATCTACATAAACTGGGAAGAAATAATTGCAGGTTTAAGGCCATCATACATAGTAGAAGACATTGATTAGATCATGCATGCTGTCCTCACAGCAAGATATTTGTTTGCTTCTTTAATCAGATTGCAAAGGAAAAGTTGGAAGTGAAGATGCAAAGCAAAACATGCTGGAAAATGAACTCCGTATTTGCCTAAATACTTTTCAGCTTCAAGTACTTCCAGATAGATGTAACTTAGCAAAGGGATAGAAAATCTTTCTCAACAAGCTTTTTACTTCCAGAAGTTTCCCAGCTGTTCATTTAACAGGGGAGCCAGGGATCAAAATGAAAACTGATACAAGCTTCATTTAATTTAATGACTGCTTTTCAAGGGCCTTGACCAAAATTGAAATGACAAGGAATTAGAAGTTTCTCAAAATTTAAACAAAACAAAACAAAAAAACCAAAACAAAACAAGAAAAACCCCCACAAAAAACCCAAACCACCACCACCAACAACAAACAAACAAACAAAACAACCCCAAAAAAATCATTTTGAAGCACTGCAATTCTGTAACTTTCACAGTCATGTTTATATCGTTTTAGAGAAACCAGAAGTAACAACATAACAGGTATTATTTTAAGGTAACAAAACATACCTAAGTATATTAAAAAACCAAAAAACACACTACATTTTCTTCAGGTTACAGATCAAGTTTTGCTTTTACAAAAGGAAAGAAACCAAATATTCATTCACTTATTAAGTGAATAGAGATTTCATGCTGTTTTTTCCAAGTCTCTAAATAGAAAGAAATACAGTAGAATGTGCACTGTAATGCAAACCAGAGGTAGAAGAAAGTGAGTACAAATCTCTAATCAACACTCAAGAGTTTGTAATACACTTTCCCGTACAAAACCCTTAAAAGTTGAGTTACAAAGCAATGCAAGTACTGCTTGTAACAGTTTGGAAGCAGGATGTATTTGCTTTAGATTTCCCATTACTTAACTTTGAAGTTGTACTACGGTGGAGTTTAGGATACAGTAAAAATCTTTGATAAAAAAGGTAAAATTTAAAAATTCTGATTTGAAATACAGTATATCTTTTTAAACAGCAATAGCAAATAATAACTGAACCTAGTACTAAGGAAGCATAGCATTGGATTTTCTGTCACTATATTTTTGGTTTTGTTTTGTTTTCAATTCTATCAAGTTTCTTGGGAAAAAAAAAAATAAACCCCAACAAAATGCCAGAAGAGCAACAGCATCCAGCCTGCCAGTATCACAGCCTTTACAAATACAAACCAATTTAGCAGCCACACCTATTTCCTCAGGTTGAAATCATAAAAGGTATTACAATTTCTCTTCAATGTAAATTCCTCCCCCACCCTCTCCAATCACTTGAACACTGGAATACATGACCCCACTGTGAAATTTATGTTTTCGTTAAAATTAAAGGAAGGACAGACCTGAAATTTCTCTTTTGGAATATTCCTTCGAGCTCCTTTTGCTAGAACAAGGGCTTCTTCTACTCTGTGGCTAGCTAGAAGATCTTGAATCTGTTTTTCCAAAGGTAGTGGCACCAAGATATACACACCCTTGTTCGTAGCAACAATTACCTTTCCTGGACAGAACAAACAGACATATTCTGTGTACATTCTCTACAGAAAAAAAAACAATTTCAGCAATAAGCTTTAAGATATACAATATAAGATTCAAGAACCTAAGCAGTGTTAAAGTTCCAAAACTGACCTTTGCTGTTACCTCATTTATTAGATAGTAGTTTACCTGCAAATTCCATCTCAGAAATAGAGAGACAATGGTAAATTTATTTATTTACAGCACAGTTTGTTCAACTCGAAGTGAAACTGGCTATAATCACTCACGATGAACTAAGCTATAAAGGCCACTGAAATCACTGCCCAGATTCCAGAGACTAAGGACTTTTAACTGCCAGGTGTTTCCACAGACTTACATTGAAAATCAAAGGTAGCAAGTAACACTCAGTTCATAGTGCTAGAGTTTGTAGCTTTTCTGAAAAAAAAAGGTAGTAGCACAAAGTATTCTACACTTCAGAGTTCTTAATTGAAGAACACACAAAAACAAATGTTTGCTTTTTTTTTTTTTGTATAACAACTCTTTATATCCAATTTTAAAACTCTTACACAGATCTTTTTTACGTTACTATTCTTTTGTATTCTTTTCTAATCTGGTAGAACTTTGTCAGGATAGCCAATATATCAGTAGTTCACAATTATTGACTTGAAGCATTAACACTGCTCATTTGAAAGAAATAATCAAGTTACAAAAAAAAAAAAAAAAAAAAAGCTCTAATCCCATGGACTCCTACCCAACAATTACCTTGACAATTAGAGCACATTTAATGAGCATACATTTTGTTAGAAGCATAGAATTTTGGATTACTGAAGTCTGCAGGACTCCAACCAGCAAAGCAGTTGCAGTAAGTTTCAACAGTCAACATACTTGCTATATATTTTGTTAAAAAAACAAACAAAGGGACTGCAGGCTGTTCCAGAATTACTGATGCAACAAAGTACCTTCAAAGTCCTGTAGAATGTGACCTTCTTTAAAAGGCAGGGTTTGCTTTTGCTGTTGATCCAGCATGCTGTGCACCGTAATGAATTCATCATCGAGAGCCACCACATAAGGAAAGCACAAAGCTGCCCCAATCACATTCTCTGACCAGTGCACTGGGGCACGCTGTGAGATCCCATCTACGGTTGCAAACATGCCTGCAAAGAGGAAAAAAAAAAAGCCTGAGGTTCGTTCTAGTTGAAGCCTAGTTGTTTTCCCAGCACAAAGCATGGGTACCAAGGTACAGAGATGAAAACTCCCAAAACAGATACAGGTAGCATGACAACAGCATATCACACCTCCCTGGACCTGATAGTTACTTCAGGTCAGTCTTTTTTTACCTTCTCCTTCACCATAGGAACAGACAACACCAAAAACTGAGAAGAGACAAATACTGGAAGAAAGTGCAAAGAATTATTCAAGTTTAGTAAGCTTCAGGGTTTTCTTATAAGAATTATGCCATGCAGTTCAAATTTCAGAACATTAACATTTACTGAGACCCAGCTTTCAATCCTGCCTTAGTAGGAGCTGCAGATCTGCACTGCCTGAGCTGTCTGGCAATGCAGGCATGTTAGTTCCTTGCTGTACCAAATATCTGAAGAGCATTTCAGTGGACACAACAGTTTACTTATACTTCTTCACTTTTGATACAGCAATGTTTTCACAGAACAAGCGTCCAGCTCCTTGGGATGAGTCACTTCCTCTGAAGCATCTGTGTTTTCAATCATTGGAAAAAAATGCAGAGGTTGTTTATAAAGCAGCACAGAGTAAAGACTTTCTAATATCCCAAGGATAACTCCTATGCTGTTTTAGAAATAACCAGATTAAAACTTCAATTAATTTGGGGAGGGGGGGTTGTCACTATCTTTCCTCCTGTCTATTTTGTCCTCCTTCTTCGTCCTAGCTTAACAGACTTCTGACTTGCTTTAGGACTGCATGCCACTGGTTCTATTCATGCTACTTTGTATTTCCCAATTCTTTCTGAGACACTGACTGAAGAAAAATTTCAGTCAACATTCTGAGGCCTAGTTCAGTAAACATTTACCAGCTGAGCCATCCTGAAGCAGTATGTAAGCTTCTGTTCAAAATATTAATTCATACCCGTTAAAACCAGTATTCTCATGCCATTAAAAAGGCATGCCCATGAAAATTGATCTTTGGCAGCAGTGAGCCACTTGACAGCTGGCAGAGTAAGTCTGAGCTCTAAAGAACACAAGAGATTAAAAGATTATGTTATTCAATTTACAAAATCTCCTCTAAACAGAGGATAATGAGGCAAGGCGAGCTGGGTAGAAGGACCATCTTGGAATTAAAAAAAAAATAAAAAGGGAAAACAGAAAACAAAACAGAAGGTTGTAGACTTTTACAGAACTATGGTGTAGAGAATCTCACCTAAGCTTCTGTATCCCTTAGGGCAGCTTTTAAATTATCAACCCTTTCCCCTTGACTAAGGGTTCTTTTTCACTACAATGATCAGCTTTTCAACCAAAGCACCTCACAGAAAATACTTTTTTGGGGGCTCATAATATATTGATTCCCAATTTACTCTATAGGTCTTGATATTCTTATGACTCAGAAGTAAAATTTTATGTCAGGCAACTGCACTGTCCACTTTTAAAGGTTTTTAGTTATTATTCTGTGCTATAATCCCATTTCAAAAAGTGGGAGAAAACTTGAACTAAACACATACTAACCAGTAGTAAATTTAGAGTTTATTATATTTAAAATATGAATTCTTAGGTTTTCTATTTCTCCGACATTTAAACAGAAATAATTATAAATCACATTTTTTTTAAATGAAAGAGCTCTTTTTAGGTAATTTTAAAAAATCCTTTATGGAAGTTAAAGGGTATGTAGAGCAATGCATGGTGCTTTTTCAAGTCAATAGCTCTCTATATCCCTCTGCCCTCAATAGCTAGGTGGTATATCATTCTGTGGTAGAATGATGCACTTTCTGTCTTCATCCAGCTCTCACCTGAGGATACCAATAAATATAACAACTACAGTCAGAAACCACAGCCTTTTTATAGCACAGGAATGCATTTGATCAAACTTGAGATGAAGCCAGTAATCAATTCCATATTAAAATTGCATAGGCTATCCAAAGGTTACAAGAGTTACCCAAAACACAGCTACACTGTTTTCAGCACCTAGAGATATAGAAATGTTTTGTATACTCTCCAAACTCGATGAAGGTGTGCTCTTCCCACAATCCATGTTGTTTAAAGATGACGTTAGTATTGACGTCACATTGGTCCCCTCTGGGCTACAAGAGTAGTGACTGGCCTCCAGCTGGACTCCTGCTCACTACAAACCTTCCAGTCAAGCTTTCAATTCACCTCACTGTTTCTCTTGCTCATGCTTCATCTGTTTGTCTACAAAGGGTGTCACAGGAGATAGTGTCAAAAGCCTTGTTGAAGTTCACAGTATCACTGCTCTCCCGTCATCCACCAAGCCAGGCATTCAATCATAGAAGACACTCAGTCTGGTCAGGCAATTGTCCCTTTTTAAATGCATGTTGATTACTTCAAATCACATTCTTGACTTTTGTATATTTGGAAATAGCTTCCAGGATTTTCTCAATCACTTTCCTGAGGATCAAGGTATAGCTGGCCAACCTGTACTTGCCTGGATCCTTTCTCTTGGTCACCTAAGACAGCAGTGAAGGCACTTGTTTTCTTCCAGACCTGAGGAACATCCCCTGATCATCACATCCTTTCAAAGATAATAAAGACTGGTCTCACATTGACATCAACCTCAAGCATTCATGGGCGCATCCCATCTGGCCCCATGGTCTTGTCTGTCCAGTTTACTTGAATGTTCTATAACCTGATCCTTCTCTGATGAGGGCAGGTTTTTGTTGCTCCAGATTTTCCCACTGTTCCTAAGCGCTGATAATACCTGAAGGAAGGTCATACCAGCAGACTGATGTAAAGGAGGCATTAAGAACCTCAGCCTTTTCCATGCCCTTTGGCACCAGGTCCTCCACCTTATTTAACAGTGGGCATCCATTAGCCTTCCTTTGCTGCTGATATGCTCCTTTTTTAGCTGTTCATGGTGTTGAGCAGAGTCAATGCCAGACAGACATTGGCCTCTGTCCTGGTTTTGGATTAATTTTCTTCTTAGTAGCTGGTACAGTGCTGTGTTTCAGATTCAGTATGAGAATGACATTGCTAACACACTTATATTCAACAGAGCACACGGCTTCATCAGTTCCTTAGTCACCATCAATGCACTCCAGAAAACTCATGGACTGCTTGTGCCCTGCTGTGGTGGCCCTCTGGCAAGTACTGGAGTGGTTCAAGAGCACCCTAAAAACTAGGACCCACAAATGAAGGTTTCTTCCCATTACCTGAAGAAGGTCTTACCTACATCATCTGTCTGATAAAGTGGTCTCTAGCAGGTAGTGACCATGATGTCGCCCATATCAGTCTGCTCTCTAACCCTAACGCATAAACTCTCATCTCCCTCTTCCTTTGTTCCAAGGTACATCACCACATTTTCCTACTGCTCCTGCATTCAGAGTAACCCTGCCCCTCAGTTGTTAACACAGAGGTGTGCTGATTTCCCAGAAAAAGAGAGCTTTCACTACTATGCTGTTTTGTAAAGACTTCTTTGTCTATATAAGCCTGAAGCAGGGCCTCTTCAGCTCTGTTAGCTGCATATAAAGTCTCTCATCATGCCATCTTGCATTCTTTGTTTACCAACTCAGCCTACAACCATCACCACACCTAATTTAAATACCCCTCACCAAGTTGGTCAGTCAAGCTGGAAAAAACACTTTTACCTCACCTGGCCTGGTGGATCCCATTACTTCCTTAAACAGGGATCCATAGTCATAAATGCCAAAACCCCTGTCAGCACAAGCTGTGCAATCAGTTGGTGACCTGCACCACCCACATATTCCTCATGACATTCTTCCTTACCAGCAGGATTGATGAGAAAACCTCCATCACCAGTATGAGAGTGTGTCCCACTACTCTTACTTGCTAATTCTTCCTGGTGCTACGGCATTGTAAAGGTTCAGATGATTTGTTGGGACAGAACTTCCTGTTCCTCATGTGCTACTATGAGCACTGAACTTACTAAACAGATGTAGATCTGCAGGCAGAGAAGGAGAATTCTTCCTTCTTTGGTTATGACAAGTACTTCCTTTCTTTTGTTACGAAAAGTCACAAGTTTCCAGCCTTGGCCATCGCAGAACAAGCAGAGACTTAGCCTGTCCTTCCCTCTGTACAGTTGGAGGTACAAGGCTCACACCTGGGTCCTGGAGAAGATTCAATTTCCTCTTTGTCATCTGCAATGCCGTGCACTCTGCTGACCTCCTCCTGCACCTCCTTTACATGGCAACAGAAATCCTTAAGGAAGCACACGTCTCCTGTGGACACGGACCACATTCTCCCCTGCTCCAGACTCCTTGCAGGAGGTAGAAGATGCTCTCTTCAGCTCAAGGCTCAACAAGCTGTACCTCCTCTTGGGAGCTCAGTCTAAGCTGACACCTCTGATGTTTTGGAGCAGTTGTTCCAGCTGGTACTAAGAAGCACACCCTGTGCCAATATGCAAGAACTGTCTGCTGCAATTTTAAAGCCTTTGTACAGCAGGAAAGCTGATTAAAAACATGCAATAACAGCTTCCGAAACTCAGAAACTGAATTTTTGTAAACACAGTTTCATACATATCAGAAAGAAGTGATTTTTAATTCTAAATGAACTAATTACTGGACAAAATGAAGATGCATCAAAAATTAAGTTCCTCCTCCTTTTGAAAGAACAATCTAAATACTAACTGCAAGCAGAGAAAGCAAAGTACCAAATGGCTAAGATCAGGAATCTGCTATGAACAATTCTAATAATGAATCTTAAATGCAAAGAGTCCAGGTAAGGAAAAAAGTTACATACCTAATAACTCAAAGACATTTTACTTTGATGACCATTTTGAGCACTTGCTTTCTGCATATCTAAATTCAAGTCTTAACTCAAAAGTAAATTAATCTAAATATATGCCACTTCAAACACTATAAAGCCAAATATATTAATGTAGAATACATCCACCTCAGTAAGAGGCTGGATTTAGCACTGAGGTTTTACCAAGTGCCAAACAAGCATGCCTTAACCAGTGAGACATACAAAACCAAATCAGAATTAGAACTGAAGATTCACAGAGCCTTTTCAAGTCCATTCATTTTACAGCAGAAGTCTACCTCAAATTCCAAGAATCACAGTGCTTATCTATTATAAAGGTGCTCAACCACCTTCGTAACCTCGAAGAGACAAGTGTTGAAGACACTAAGAATTTTACCAAGGAAGAACAGCAAGGACAGTACTAGTCAAAACAACGAGGATGGAATAGAAAACAGGAGATTAAAAAAAAAAAAAAATCAAACAACAAAAACACACAAACAACCCACAGCTGAGTTAGGCAAGGAAACACTGTACAATTGATACCAAACAATCTTCAAGGTTTCTGAGGAAGTACAAGATAGACTTTGCCAGTCTAGCAGTACAAGATAGACTGTATCATGAGCAAAAGGGTGGTTTATAGCATGTTTAGAACAGCAGAAGTGCATTTACTTAATATCTCACATACCTGATATTCTAACCCCAAGACATGCTACTTAGACAAGTACGTTGATTTTCTGAGTAACATTCTCATTGTATTTCTCTCTTACAGGAGACCAGATAAAAGCAAAGGTCAGACTAAATAAAGTTCTGCTTTCTAACTTAATACAGTTATGCTTTTGAAAGTATATGTATTCTTCTTAAATCAAAAAAGAAATTAACTACTTGAACAGAACCTGGTTTGACTTTCTTAAAAACATTAATAAAAATTAAAAGTAAGACTGTGATCTTCTTAGTAATATGTCAAAAGCAAATATTTTCAGACAGCTAATTCACAAATTTAAACTTCTACAGCACTACTAAAACAGTTACTATCTACAAATACATATTCACATTTAAAGCAACTAGGGAGTTTCAATAAGAATTGGGTAGCCAAAATGACTTAGAAAAGCCCTACATTCTGAAGAAAAAAAGTGCATTTTGGAAATCTTCAATTTGCATAAACTGATATTCTAGTAAGAGTTTGTTTCTTTCAAGAAAAATTGGTGAGTTGATATACATATCCCATTCTGGTCATGAGACAAAACTTCAATATAAGCAACTGACTCCATTCTTTATTTTGCTTTGGAATTTATTTTAAAAAGCCAAATTCAGATCCCTGAATTAAGAACATAAATAGAAGAACATGCTATTCCTAATATGTCAGGAAAAATACACACATTGCACCTCTGAAAAGGAGAGTCATATGGGAAACAGCATGAAAACCTTCTGCCTGTGGTCTGTCAGCTCTGGGATATTGCAGCTTTTCAAAAAAAAAAAAACAAGTCAAGATTACTGACCCCACAGCATATTGTTGATTTAGACAGATTACAGCAGCAGTAGTCCTTACAGTCATTTATCTATTAGACAAGAGCATTGTTTCACACAATCTAACTTTGGTTTTACAATTGTTAAACTACCATTTTCTGTAATATGGATCTGAAAAGCACTATTAAAAAAAAAATTAAGCAAATGGGAGCATAAAAACTGGGTAGTATCTGACAACATCTACAGTTAAGACAGTTTATTTTAATAGGAGTTAGGATACAGTCTATTTCCATTAAAATTTCTTACTAGCACTGTAGTACAACAAACTTACTTGTGAATCAGTTTCAATGTAAAATGGACTTCGTGTGAACTCCTCTAAATAGCAACTGAGAACCAAATTAACACATCTACACAAATTTAACAATTTTATAGCAACAGAGGGCTCCTCAAACCCAGTCTGACTGATCACTACAGAGAGCCTATCAACCCCTGAAGTTTCACTTGGTACCAAACAATTCTTTTGCTCAGGGCTGCATGATACTACTGCTCTTAGCTGTCTATACAGCAATGAAGCTTTCTACAGACATGATTAAAATACAAATAACCACAGATTTTTGTGCACTGAAAAAAAGAACAGGAGAGTTATAACAGTATTAAGTACCAAAAATTTACCATCTCCCTTTTTACCTCAGCATTCCAATATAGACCTGTGAAGTAAATCATCATTATGATGCAAAACACTCGATTAGTAAAGCTTTGCTTCACAAGTGAAAGACATTAGTAGAAGTAAAAAAAAAAAAAAAAAAGGCAAAAAATTAAAATCCTCAGTCTCACCTAGTCCTCCAGGGCCAGCCAAGAGAAACTCTTGTCTGCCTATCCTTTTCACAATTGGTCGTTTCTCATCACTGCAATAAGGAAACAGATCCTGGGAGACGCCGGTATTATAATTCAAAATTATATACTGTGTAGTAAGTGCAAGGCATAAGTAGTATCCATCTACGGCCACAGCACAGGGTTGCTCTGGAGTAAACACTTCCTTGACTATCTGGACTCTGTCTTCAAACACCATGAACATCTGAATGGTCCGACGCTTGACTGAGATGATGCAGACCTCCACGCAGAACGGATCCCCGCTCACGGGGTTCTCGTTCAACGTGAACGTCACAGCTCCTTTGATCCTGGCACCGGTGGGGACGGGTTCCAAGTTTATCATGTTAACTAGTGTTATCGTGTTGTCACAAAGCACGAGAAGTCTGGTGAGGGCAGAGGCTGCTTTCAACTCGCTCACAGGCTTCTTCAAGCCCAGATATTTATGCAGTTGCTTGGTAGCAGCAAAAGTTATTTTTCCAGCTGTTGATACCTTTTCATCCAACATAAAGTGATAGATAAAGCAGTCATTGGTTCCAATGTAGAGGTTCTTCCCACAGCACTCAATGCACTCAATGTTGATGTAATTTTTGTCTCCCATTAACATCTCCCGCTCAACAGCAGAAACGAGCTTGAAAGCTTTAACGCTCATTGTGTCTTCTGGGTGATCTGATTAAAGAGAAAAGAAACACACTATTTAGCTCCACACACATAATCAAATATCAGAGGTAGAAATTTAATATTCACCAATACAAAAACTTAAATGTTGCATTCTTTAATAGCCTGTACTCTATTTCCAACCCAATTACACAAGCCAGAGCAAGCACACTAACAACCACAGAAATTAATCAAATTTTATGCTTCCACTTCAAACCTATTCTGAAACAGATTCACAAGAGCACCCAGCTATTTTGAAGTGATGCTTTCTCCACATGTAACC